TCTGCCTTTATGCAATACTACATTCTTTTTCTTAATAATACCTATGTTGAGAAAGTGATTTATTGGTACAACTACAATTCCATAACAATAACAACGTTAGAAAGAAAAGAAAAGAAAAATGAACAAACCCTTGAGAAAGAGAAGGAATGCTCTCCAAGGGCGGCGACGAGTTTGGTGATTTCGGATTCAATTTGCGCTAAAGAGTGATGCAAATCAGCCTTGCTCTTTCTCGTCATTTCCACTTTTCTTCTATAAATGTCCAAACACTCTTGTTCCAATTCCAACAGCATCTTATCCCTTTCCACGTCACTTTCCCCTATTTCATCCCATATTACCTAGTACCAAAATTAACAGAAAAAACAACACTTAGTTTGACTTTCTTAGTCAATTTTTTTTTAAATCCAAAAAAAAAAAGTGAGAGTCGGAGAACAAAACCTGTAATTCTTGAAGGAGAGAAGCGCAAGTGGTCTGAGAATGAGAGGGAGACAGAGACGGCGGCAACGTAGTCATATTTGGGGAGGAAAACAAATCAAGAAAAATCCAAGAAATGCTTGAAACCCTAAGAATCAGAGAGGAAATTGAGGAACGAGTGAAATGTGAAATGGGAGCGTTACGAATCGTAGTTTTGAATTTCAAAAAGGAAAGATTGGGGATCACATTTCTGATTTGTCCCTTTTATTATTATTATTACTGAAATAAAGACTGAGAAAAGAAAACAATAGAAAGAGGAGCGTTACGGATATTTGAGTTGTTTTGGCGCGAAAATCCACGCCCCGTATTTAATTGTCTTCTCGGCAAAACTGTTTTATTAGTCCTTGAATTATGGAGGAGCATGAATTTAGTACAAAGAGTGTACCTCTTACATTTCTAGTACTCTCGAAACTTCAAAAAATATTAATAATTTTTTTATCACATAAGTCATTAGTGTTTGTGCCAATTTTATCATTTTAAATTCATTTAATTTGGTTATATTGTCTATTTATTATTTAATTCAGGAATTAAAATTTGAAATATAATGCTTAAATTTGATCAAATATATTATAAAAGCTAAATCCGCAGCTTATATATAGTACAAGTTTTAATGACATAATTTGATATTTTTAATTTTTTTAGTAAACTACATATAATCAATAAATTGTGTTAAATTTTTTCAACCAATTATGAAAAATTATAATAGAATTACTGAAGTTATGAAAAATTATAAATTCTCTACCTAAATTATAAATTGTGTTAAATTTTTTCAACCAATTGTGTTAATGTTAGATTTTTTATATATATAAATTCTAAATCTAATTCTAACTCTACCTAAATTAATGCCTTAAATCTCTGTCCCCCAAATGTATACCTTCCAAACTCTTCTAGTTGTGAATCACACAGATTAGAGGAACTTGATAACCAATTTTAACATGAAACTCAAGTTTCAGTCCAAATAATTCATGTGACAAAAGGTGAAATTAAGTGGACTTGGGGTTTGAATGCCAATAGTTAGGAACACTTTTCTTTCAAGGAAATTGAGCCTAATTTAATTGATGACATTTTTTAGAATTCTAATCATAAATTTACAAACATATTACCCCGTTTGTTTCAAATTACATTATCATTATACATATATGATAACGAAAAAAACTCATTTTTTTCCCAAAAGAAAATCATAAATTTATTACTTTCGAATCAAAGCAAATTAGAATTCAATCACTATTTCTAATATACAATTTTTAGGATAAATTTCCCATCTGATCACTCATCTATTTTTCAGTACGTGTTTTGATCACTCATATATATTACGTTTATCTTTTACTCGCATGTCGTTAGAAAATTAATAACAACACTAACATGATATTTTTATTATATTTTAAAGTTTTCACATCATTTCCTCTTTCATCGTCAACAATCCAATAATATTTTCAATAATTTTAAAGTTCGCCTGTAAATGAAATGAACGTTCAGTGAACCGTTCATGAACCGTGCGGCGGGAAGTTCGTTTATGTGCGTTTATTTATTAAATGAACGAACATGAAAAAGATTTTGTGTTCGTTTAATTAAATGAACGAACATAAACATAGGTCTCGTTCGTTCATTTACGTTCGTGAACGTTCGGTTATGTTCGTTTATGTTTGTTCGGTTATGTTCGTTTATGTTCATTCATTTATGTTTAACTCAGTCTTCTTAAATCAATTTTGGTGACCAATTTGTAAGTATCTTAAAAATATTAATTAATCTGATATTCTGATGACCAACTCCATAATTAACCAAATTTTATTTGGAGATTAAATCCAATATGTTAACTCGTGAGGCACATCGCACTTATATTCATTTTCCTCCTTTTTTTCTCAAACCCTAATATTCACTGGAGAGTGGAGACGATCGCTAAAAACTTCAAAACAAGTTATATTATAGTGCAATCTGAAGTTTAAAGGTCTGTTTTTATATATTTCTCTGTTTTATTTGGCTTAATAGTTGATATGTAAAGTTATTGTGGGTATCTTCACATCTAAAACTCAAGAAAACATCATACTTCTTTCTAGAAATAGATGGGAAGATAAATGTAACAATCGAAAGTATATGAGCATCAGTAAAGAGAAAAATATATAAAATTTGCCAGAAAACAAAACAAAGGTTTCTATGCAATTTATGAAAAAGAGTGTAATAGCGGAAGTAATGGGTTTTTCAGGAAGAACCCATTAATAAGTAGAAAATACACTTTTACAATGAACTTTTGTTTTCATAGTTCTTGTGTGACCTCTAGTTGTGGAGTAGACTTTAGGTACGTTAAAATTTTGAATAGTGGTTTAGCAATAATATCAGTTACGATATGTAGCATCGAAGGGATTTTGGATATATGTTTTTGCCTTGTAGTCTAATTTGTACCGTTCGAAATCTCCATGCTTTTAAATTTTCTACTCTGTCAACGGAAATGACCATTATTAACAAACCTCACTAAAGTCTGACATTGATATCACAAAACTTTTAGCCGGCGAATTTATTAGAATAACGTAGATTTGATTGATTTGCATTGTCGACTATTTTTCATGAAAGAACAACGGAAGGTAGGGTCTCCAACGTTTATGTTCGTGTTCGTTTATATTCGTTTATTTATTAAACGAACGAACATGAATAAGTTATATTCGTTTATGTTCGTGTTCGTTTATATTTGTTTATTTATTAAATGAACGAACATCAACAAACCTTCGTTCGTGTGCGTTCGATTTGTTTACATGCTTAACCACCTTACTGGTCAAATAAAAACCAAGAAAATATCAAATATCAGTGGCAGAGGGATTCAAACCCTACCCCTTTTGAAAAGATTCAAACACCTATTATGGTGGCCAGGCACGTTACGTGTGATAGTTTTCTCTAAACCTATATTTAAGTTATACCATATTACCATAAAAAAATAAATGATTTAAAAGATATCACTGGATTACTAATAATAATAATAAAGAAAATATGTGGAAAGTTTAAAAATAATATAAAATATCATATTAACATCACAGTTAAAAAATTATCGTTAATTTTTTAAAGACAGATGACCGAAACAGAAATAAAAATAACACTAGGTATAGTTTTTTTTTAAAAAAGATTAATCAAAATAAAAACACAGAAATAGATAGATAACTACATAGGTAGTTTATCCAAATTTTTAAAAGAAACCAATAATTAACTCAATTGATGACTCCTTAAAAATTTAAAGTTTGAATCTTAATATCGAAAAATATATCATTTCTCTTTGAATTATTATACATCTTCATAAAAAAATCAGATATATCTTTTTCTAAAAAATAAATCATGAATTTATGGTAACATAAGCAAACAACAATTAACATGAGATAAATTATGAATAGGAAATTTGGGAAGTTGTTATCATAAACTATATTCAGTGTAACCTATAAATTAATAACTTTTCTAAAATAATGATTTTTCTCAATTCTTACTTGGGTCCAAGTTTTAATTTAATAATTTTGATAAATTAATATGATAATATTTTTTTGGAAGACTCTTATGTAAATTTATGGTCCCTTCAATATTATAAATTAATAATTCTATAAAATTACAAATATAACTAAGACAACTTAGTAAATATGATTCTATTGTTGTTTGCTCCTTCTTAAAATTTAAATCTAGCTAACATAAGCCACTAACCCTTTTCTCTCCCAGTTTTCTCTCTTAATTTTCTCTCCAGTAAGCCATTCATCTCTTTCTCTTTTCATCTTTTCATCTTTTCATCTTTGTTGATCGACGACGACACCAACTTTAATGGTGGTTGCCGATTGTCGATCTTATTTATTGTCGTTTTATTTTCTCACTCAATCAGAAAAAATCTCTAATAATTAATTTATTGATTAATTAATACCTCTTTAAACTAATAAAATTACATGGTCACAATATTATTAATTTATAAAAGTTTTACTGTACATGAGAACTTCTATGTTACATTCGAATAAAGTTTACATAAATTTTAATTCATTGTGTATATTCCTCTCAACCTAATCATATTTGTGGTAAAATCATTTAATTTACATATTATAATATTTTTAATTTATTATAAAAACTTATGAGCATATACTACCATGTACTAACATTATATTAATAAAAAATTACTATAAAAACTGATATAATTGATAAGTAGAAGTAAATATTCTTGATTTTAAATGTAAACATTAAATTCGGTAAAAGTTTCATGCATGAATGTCCACCAAATTAATTTTAATCTCTGTATAGAAATTCCACCTAATAATTAGTTAATTGTGTTCATTACTATGAAAATAGCATTAATTTAGAAGAAATTTATGGAAATAATAGTATTCATTTCCAAAGGCACTAAATCTGAACAAGTGCTTAGTCATGATTCTCAATCTTGTGTTTAAATGATGAAGTAACAACTTCACACTGGGATTTCTTTCCATAATTGCATGATATTACATAAATTAAGCCCTTAATGTATGCATATATAAAATCAATCTCAACATTTCACATAAAATCAAGAAATTTATAAGTTGGCAATGGTTACAATAGTTGAAGATCTTGGAGAACATTCAAGCATATCGGCAAAGATGGAAGGATTGGTTCCGAAACCGAGTACCGAAATTGAATCGAGTCATGACGTTTTGCTAGATTTGAAGCTCTCGAACCATGCCGGAAATGGTGACGATGGTGACACTAAGGCGCGACATGAATCTAAGATCGAATTTGATCTTTTCGCACCGAGGAGCCCTACTACTTCCCATGATGATGATCAGAAAAGCAAGGGTTTCTCGTGCAACTTTTGCAAGGGAGTTTTCTCCACATCTCAAGCCTTGGGGGGACACCAAAACGCTCACAAGCAAGAACGTGCGTTGGCAAAGAGGCGTCATCAAGGGCTCATCGAAGTGAACCCATCTTGCGATTTCAGTCCCCTAAACTTTGCCTATCATCCGTTTTCGACCTACTCTTCGAACCCTTTTCATGGATCTTTCAACAGATCATCCCTCGGGGTTCAGTTCAACTCGATGGTTCGTAAACCAATGCACCCATGGCCGTCATTGTCTCGACCATATCATCTCCCCCATGGTAATTGGTCTAGGCAACCACTAATGAGCTTTTCACAACCAAATTTAAGCTTTAACAATGGAGAGTTGCTTGGAATCTCAGGGCCTTCAACTAGTGCAAATCGCTCATTTGGTAAGAATTCTCAAGCGAATGTTGCTGCAAGTGCAAGCACATCTTTGGGAAATGGTAATAAATACAAGGATGGTTCTGGAATTGATTTATCCCTTAAGCTTTAATTGTGGTTTTATTGCTCATTTTATTTTACTTAATTCAGTTTATTGTTGTAATTGGGTGTGTTTACAGCTTAAACTTTTATGCCTTAAATAATTAAATGATTTGTGAAATCCAAAGTGGTATATTTCCGTATTAATTATTTTGCTTGATTATTGCATATTTATTAAATCTGTTCACGGTAATTTATTTTTCTTTCTTTTTGTTTAAGTTCAAAATTTTATATCATTATCTTATCATTAATATTAAGATATATTTTATTAGAAAATCATTGGTCGAATCTAGACCTGAAAAAATATATAAAACAGCAACTGAGCAAAACTTGTTGCATCATCCAACTGAGAAGTTTTCCCCCAGTGAAGGTTGACACATTTCCCCCCCAATTAATTTGTTGCTCTTGTAACTGAGCAAAACTTGTTGCATCATCCAACTGAGAAGTTTTTTGTAACATAGTTTAATTGTGTACTAGATCCTCCACTGTTTTTTTTACCGATAACCTGTTAAGGATCTCATGAAGCATAATCTGCTGCTCATCAAGAGAAGCTAAAATTAGATCAAAACACAACGAACCTGGAACAAAGAATCTTACGGGTCTTTCACATTGTCATCAAGTTGCTTGAGTTGTGTATCGTCGACCATTTCCGTCACGAGTCAATGAAAGCACCAATTTTGTGGATATAGAAAATAAGTGAAGTAATGGAATATATTGAAACCATCCAACTCAGTTGGTAGAGCATAAGGTTCTTAACCTTGAGGTCGTGGGATCGAGTCTCACGGAAGGCATTTCATAATTTGAAGGTCTCCCACGGAAGCTGCTCTCAACCTGGCGTTGGGGGCAGCCTACTATCTTACCTCCCCTATCCTATTACATATGAGAATAAGAGTCAGTTGATTTTTATTACAATTGAGAAAAGATGAGAGAAAAAGTAAAACACTGATTCAGATTTTTCATAACCAACATGTTATCCGCATTTCCTGCTTTATAGGCCTTGGTTTTGGTATTATGTCACAAGTCAAGGTTGACGTGGATGAAGCACAAAATCAACGCACATAATAAGCAAGGACGAACTAGGATGGAATTATGGGAGGAGTGAAGTTATTTATCTTTAAAACTAATAAGGTTCTAAAAGGCAATTAAATCACAAAAATAGAGGAATAGAACTTCATTAAACCAAAATATTTTAGAAAGATCATGACTTAATTTTAATTATTTCAAAACATTTAAAAGTTTAAAATGTAATTAAACTTTAAAAATTAGGGTGGACCATATCATTTTTCATCCCACGTAATTCCACCACTGATAATAAGAACCTTCCTGACTTGACGACTACTCTGAATTACTGGTGTCTAGCCTAAATTATTGTCGAATCCAATATAGTGTTGATCCATTAATTCGTAGTTGTATTACCAGTCGTAGCATTATGCAAATTAGAATTCAAAAGGTAATATGAAATGTTTGCTTTATGTGTTACTCTTTGATACGATTGTAGAAATAAATTTTAGCAATATGATCATATAATTATTTAAATGTTTTTGATATAGTCATTTATAGTTATAAAACAAGCGGTATAATTAATGTAATTAGCATTGACTAACGACAAGTTAAAAGTTTACATCAATTATATTACTTATAATTGATGTAATTGCCATTAACTGATGTTAAAAGTCTACATCAATTATATTGTTTGTTTTATAACGACAAATATTTATATTAAAACCAATTATATAGTTACATGATTCTATCACTAAAATTAAAATATGACCCTAAACCCTAAGCCTACTTTAAAATAATTATTTTTTGAAGGAAGGGAACGAGCCGTGTTGCCAAGTTTTGGAGTGACGTGGAAGCTCGTGGTAGGACCTTCGCATTCCTCCGATAATTCCCCATTTCACTTTAGCAAAAACATTGTGAATTACTGAAACTTTTCTCAACACGCGTTTGGTATTCGAGAAAGTGCCTACAACTCGAGAAAATTTTTGACCCCTTTCCCCTTTATTTATTTATTTTTAATTTTTTTTCCTTCGATAATAATTAAAAAGAAAGAAAGAAAAGAAAAGAAAAACAACAGCAAAAAGTTAAAAAGAAAACCCTAACACAAATGCAATCTCACATTTACGTAACGCGTATAGCATCTTCCTAAGGACTTCGTGTTTCACTTCACACGGCGATCAGATCAGTCTTCTAACTGGCGATCAGATCAGTCTTCTCACTGGCGATAGATTGTTACCTTTACTCATAATCGCAATTCCCTGGTTTCTTTCTTTTGCTCTCACTATTCCTCTCTTTTATTTGTTTATTTGATTGCTTATATGAGCTGCAAACCACTGAATGGTTTGCTTTTTTCTTTTAGGTTTTTGGTGGATTATTTTGTGTTTTTAACATGGTTTAATTTTAACGAGAGAAGAAGTGGGTTTGTTTTATTTTGATAAATTTTAATGAAGAAGCCGATGTTTGGGTTAGTCTCAGTGGACTCTTTTAGAGTAATTTAGTAATCAATTAACTGAAGATCAATGCCAAAATGTTGATTTCTAATTGTTAGCAATGTGTGAAAGTTAGGTTCCGAGCTTGTTTATAGTTTGTTGTTTGGCCATGCCGATTTTATTGTGTTGAACCAGAATTGCATGTTGAGAACTTAGATATTGATGTAGTGGTTAGTTTTAACTAGTTAGGAAAGCTCCAATATCGATGTCTTGCCGAGCATTAGGATAAATATACTTCATTTTTGGAGAGATTGTGCTCCCGTTGGTTTAAATGTATATTTTCATGAATCCTTTGGTATGGACAACTTCTTCATCTAGGGGAAATTCATGATTGAATCTTCAAGTCGGTTCTTAATTTCTGCAATACTAGTGTTGGATAACATGCATGACATTGCTTTCAAAGAACGATGGAGCCTTGGTTTCAAAGTAATCTCAAGTGACTCAATTTCTTACTTCTATTTAGTGTCTTCTTCCTCTTTTGTTTTCCGTACGTAGTTTTTTTTTCTTCCAGATTCAGTATGATCTCAACACTGTGTGTTGATACTGATTGCTGAACACTATCGGAAATCCTTGCTATCTGTGAAGTGCTTCTTGCATTGATCATGGCTTAGGGTAGTGTTCTTACTAAACCAGTTACAGGTTGAATTGAGTTGTATTGTTGTGTGTATGTCTATTTGTATCTCTGTATGTTTTGTTTTATCTTAGCTTCTAAATCTTAGGAAGTATGTGTTAGTGTAATTAGGCTCTTTTTATATGTTCCAAGCATGTACTGATTTGGAGCCTAGATGCTGTACAGTCCAAGGGTTGGCCATGTGTACCGTTTTTTCATGTAAATCAAGCATAAGGGTTAACCCTAAAATGTTTTAAAAAATTTCATAGTAGTGCTTTCGATTTTCTTAGTGCATTGTGACATGGGGTACATGAATTTTATCAGAAAGGAGGATATCTAATCCCTGAGAACATGTAATTACTATAGTCTTAAATGTGTTCTGCAGTTTTGATGAGTGGTATTGTTGATGATATGCACTGTTTTGTTGGAGATTGTTATGGCCAACAGTTTTGGATCTTATTTGTGTATATATTTTCGGAGTTTGGGCAGGGCATAGATTGGGTAGAAACTCCCTCCAGCTTGTTCTAACTCCTTTCACCATCTACTGCAAACCCTCAACCTCTTAACCTAGCCTTTTATCACCATGAACTTAGTAATCAAAGATGAAGTGTTAAACAATGTTGAAGTGAGGTAATAGAGAGCATTTGGTCATAGCAATGATCAGTGATAGTTGACAATCTTGCAGAAAGAGAAATGTTTCTGCATATGCGTTAAAAGGAAGAATTTGGTCCTTTTCCCTCCCTTCCAATCTTTTTTTTTTTTGAATGAGATATATTAGAAGTGGTCAAGTGATTGTTTTGAGCTTCATCTGTGGTCTTTCAGTTTATTGGATTTGAACGGCGAAATTCCAGCCATATCTTATCTCTTTTATGAAGTATGATTATATAGGTTTTCTGTTATCTTTTATTGTTTTGTGTTAGTCATCTTAAGGACAAGTCTGTTTACTTAAGATTACTTGATTTTGTTTTCAATTTTCTGTTAAAATTCCAGCCACATCTTATCCTGTGTTAAGTGTTTTGTTCAAATTTCATGTTCAGGCCTGTGATTGGGTCCAAGCCCCTCTGCTTACTCATGGTTTTCAATGCTATAAGCATCCAATTTCTAAAGGATGACACTGGTCGTCTTTGTCATATAATCCAAGCCACACTTATGCTTTGCCTTTTTATGCCTGACTGACCTAAGTTTTGTGATGAATAGTTTGTAAATTTGCGGTTTGTCTTCTTAGTTCCTCTTTTAACTGAATTAGTATTGAGTAGGATGTGAGGTTTGCATGAATTGCTTTTTCGGGGCATAGCAGTTGCTATATTTACAAATCAATGTTTGCCGATATGCCATTGTGCCATTTGTTCAGGTCATTGCTGCTGTTTTATATTTATATGATCAGAACATAATGAGACTCTAGGTCTTTGTTGTGCGCTCTATTGTCCTGTATCAGAACAAAACAAATCTACATATATATCTTATTCTCTAACTCAGTTCAAAATGTGTTTAAATGATCATCGCTTTTTCTTATTCACTTATATGACTGTGGTATCATGTTTCTTGATTTTACCTATATTTAGTTTCTGTTGAGCAATGTTTTATATTCCACCATAACATGTCACGGTTATGTTGTTTTTCCTGCATTAGGAATGGACCACTATGTCATGCCTGTGCCGAGAAGGGGTGAGATGAAGCATAAAGGAAGAAATGTAGTTTGGTCGGTTGCAATGGACAAGTGTCTTATTGAAGCTCTGGCTATTCAGGCTAAAAACGGCAATAAGATTGACAAATGTTTCAATGAAAACGCATATACCGCTGCTTGTATTGCCGTGAATTCTCGTTTTGATTTAAACTTGAACAATCAAAAAGTTGTGAATCGCCTTAAGACGATTAAGAAAAGATACAAGGTAATGAGAGATATGCTAAGTCAAGATGGATTTTGGTGGAATCCAAATACGAAAATGATCGAATGTGACAATGAAGATCTTTGGAAAAGCTATGTGGTGGTCAGTGTGTTCTACACTTGTTCCCATTGTTTCATTTTTGTTGTTTCAATATACATACTTAAAATTACTTGACATTACCTATGTTGAGCAGGCACATCCTGATGCAAAAGGGTTCCGAAGAAAACCGATCGAGATGTATGATGAGCTAAAGATTGTTTGCGGAAATTACCAAGCACCTAGTCGTTGGGCGAAGATGAAGGATGGAAGTCATCCGACAAGCTATAAGAACTTTGAAGAAGATTCTGCTTCTTTTGTATCACCAAGTTCAGATGACGCAAGTGATACTGATGGAACACAGTCATATACAGGGCCCCCGGAGTATTTGCAAGATGGAAGTCAAGACCCTCCTCCGATGGAGCCTCCCAGACAACTTCCAAAGCGACGACGTGGCTCAGATTCTCTTCAAGAGGCAATGCTTGCAGTGGCATCCAGCATTCGAAGGTTGGCTGATGCCATCGAGCAGAGTAAAACTACAATCAATGCCTCTGAATTGCTAGACGCAGTTATGGAGATCGATGGACTGGAAGAAGCTAAACAGATGTACGCATTCGAGTATTTGAACGCTGACCCTATCAAAGCGAGGGCCTTCATGACATACAATGTTCGGATGAGGAAAACGTATTTGTTTAGACAGTTTTGGTGGTGGAAATGATCGGACCGGGGATCGCAACTGCAAACATTTTCGGTATATAATTTACAATAGCATGGGGATATTTATGGATGTTGACACATTAAAAACCTTGTTTCAGTCGTTCGTGGAGGTTAAATGTACAGATTTCAGATGTTAAGTGATTAAACATTTATGGTTTGATGCTTTAGTCTCGTTTTGTAAAGAATCGGACTGGAAATTGAAGATTACTATAGTCTCAACCATCTCAATATTCGGGAAATTTAATGAACCTGTGGATTTTTTTAAATTCTATATTTATGTATGTATAAATTTTAAAATTAGTAATTATGTTTAGTAGTTATTTTATTATCAAATATAATTACAAAAAATTAATAAGATGAGACGTTAGAATTTTTTTTAAATAAGATCATAGGTTTTTGTAATACTCTATCTAAATTAATTTGTCAATGAATCGGATATCAATGGTGGCGATCAATAGGTGACAGCGTATGGCGAAAATCGACGGTTGGAGCTCGCCAACATTTTGGCGTTTGAGAGGTAAAAAAGGAGGAATTTTTTTTTAAAAAAAAAAAGCAAAATAAAAAAAATTGAATTATTTGGAGAAAAAAAATCAGCCTAAATAATATAAGTGAGACGGGTCGGGTTTGACCTGGGAAGGATCCGCGTTCTGACCCACTGGCTGATCCATCCTGTGCCGTTTATTTTCCTTTTTTTTTTTTATTGATTTTTTGGTAAAATTCTATGTTAAGTGTTTTGTTGTTGCATGTTACTCAATTTAGCCCTGATTTATATTTTTAATTTGAAATATTAGGATTAAAATCTTTTAACTAGACCCTATCTCATAATTTAATTAATAATTTGTTCTTATAATTTTAGATTTGTTTTAATTACGCCTTCACATCATAAGTTGTTAGAATTGGATCCATAAAAATGAAATTAATTAATAATTTGACTTATATTTCTTAATTAATCGCAATTTGATCCTTTGATTCGAGAATAGTTAATGAGTTTAGTCTGAATTCTCAAGTGATTTTGATTGGATTCTTAACTTTCAAGCATGTTCATCTTTTCCACGTATTTATGCAATTTTTCTAACCTCATCATTTTGGCAATTTTCCTTCGAGACAACATTATCTTTTACGCATCATGAGGATATTCCAACCTACCTCACATGTAACTGACTCTCGTACCCGATCATAATTGATCCTTTCTTTCATAACTACAAAACATAACATACACTATGTGCCTTTTAAAGTACATTTTGATCGTACATAAATATATGAGTATGAAAGTTGATCTTCAGACTTAATTTCACTTCCTAGGTTTGCCTCTTTGTTTAAACGATGAGTATTTAATAAACTGAAAACAAGATCAACTTCTATTGAACAACCAGAATTCAATAAAATTAAAATCTGAAATAAACAAAAATATTATTAAAAGAGACGTCGAAGGTTGCAATGACCTGTTTTGCGTAAACAAGCTTTAACCTCACGAATCGCACTGCAAAGTGCAATAAGCAAACTTTGTTACACAAAACTGCTCATAAGTTGATTGGGTCCAGCTTGCTGCAAATTGCTTTTGGAATTGGCGCTTAATTCCCCATTAATCGTCCAACATTTTTCCTTCTTTTCAGCGTTGTGATGCTTCGCTCGTACACGACCAAGATTAAACTCAAAAAATCGATTTCGTCTCATATTAAAACAATAATTCGTATATCCCTCTCATATCAGGATTAAAAAAATCAGGTGTGTCCGTATATGATTAAAAATAATGTTGATGATAATAAGTGGATATTATTATTAATTTGAACGAGGAAAAATAAATACTTAACTAAAATTAAAGAACGGAATTATTTACTCATATGTAGTCATGAAATCGGATGAACATTGTTGTTGAGACATGTTTATACAATTTTCTTAAAATGGGTTTGACATCTCTTACGCTGCTAGAGAATTGTTTGTTGTCGGTCTCATAGAATACAACAACGATACGAGTAAAGCAATGGCACGAACTGTAACCTCGCATTCTTCTATCACCAAAAATATTTGAAAGTAGAGAAAATGTTGTTTGACTGATTGACTAACCTTGCAGCTTTACAAGGTTTAAATCTGATATTCTCACTGAAAAATTATTGAAAAGTTTGAATAATGAAGCAGCTAATATCCGAATATCAAGGAACCATTAATGCGTAATATTCTCGTCTATTAATGTATAATATACTTGCCCATTTATATCCGAGAATCGGATGAGCAGTGTCGTTGAGGATCATATCTCAAAAACTAATATTGAAATATTTAGTCTTGCAATATAGTTACAACCACCACATTAAAAACAATTGAAGAAAAAACATAAGATGTTGCAGGGCTCTGCACTTTGGAGAGACCAGCACATGGACTTAATTCAATTCTGTCGGATTACAAATCCCACGTATTCCAATGTAATTTCCAAATAATAAAAAAATAGGATAAATTCTATTTGGTCAATTATCTATTATCTATTTTCTGTTTTGATCACTCAACAGTTATTTTTTTTAAGTTATACTTAATATTACATTTTGGTTCTATTTAGTTACCCACCTATTAACGTTAGCCGTTACTTCTTTAATGGTGAGTGTCGAAATAGAATCAAAATGTAATGTTATGTATGATTTTGAAAAAAACAATAGTCAAATGATCAAAACAGAAACTAAATAATAGGTAAGTGACCAAATAAGCAGTGTACCCAAAATATTATAACTTGTTGCCAGCTTCTGGGCTGCACACTAGTGTATAAGAGGATGTGTAGTGTAGCACTCAAATCGCAACACCACCAAACCAATAGCATAAGCCACTTGGAAACATCAAACTAAGAGGATGGCTGCTCCAACCAGTGAGGGTCCTGCAATATATACAGAGGTGTATTTTAACAACCGAGCCGATCAAGATCTCAGCACGTATGACCAAAAAGATTGGTATGGGAGTGGAGATCGTCCGCTAAATGTTCCATCGCTACAGACACGATATTTTAAGCACATGGCCGATTCCTTTGTAGGAAGCTCCGAAGGCGGGGCTGTGTTTGTTATTGAACAAAACATCAAGCGGGTTATTGCGTGGAGGACTATGATGCATGAAGATAACAAGGTATGTATCAATTCAATGTTATTCCAGTTTTTTTAGGATAAAGTATACAAATGGTCCCCCAACCATAGGGTGTTGCTTTGTTAAGTCCCTAAAAAATTGATGACCTTTTGAGGTAGACATTAATCTGTTAACTTGAATATGATAAAATCTGATCCCAAAATTATTTGAAGTGTATTTTTTGGATTGAATCTCCATTTATATTATGTCATCGAGCGAGTTCTTGAAACATTATACCGTTGAGCCAATACTTAAAAGTAACGACAACGCCAATAGAGATCATTAAAATATAATTTTATTATATCTCAATCAGTAGATTAACATCCAGCTCAAATGACTATCAATTTTTTTAACAGAAAAAGACGAGTTTGGAACACATGAATAGTCGAATAATCATTTTGTAACTTTTAACAGTCAATGGACTTAACAAAGCAATGCTCTAGAGTCGAGGGATCATTTTGTAACTTTTAATAGTCGTAGACTCAACAAAGTAGCGCCCTGTAGTCAAGGGACCATTTGTGTATTTTACCCTTTTTTTAAAAGTTTTTATTCTCTATTATCTTATTGATCAATTATAAAAACTTTAATATTAGGGGTCAAAGTGAAAGTCAAGGGTTGTTAAATATAGGAGAAAGTAAGGTGTATTTTTAGCAAAATTTGTTTTAAGAAAGAATACAAATCAATATGTTTAAAACATTCCCACAACTCCAAGGACTATTCAAAACCATGACACTGCCACACAAAAATGAGGTTGAATAAGCAAACATACCACATTGTTCCAAGGCAACCAAAGAATACCCCTCACATGGACATGTGCTTATTATTAAAAACCAGCCCATTACGAGCAGGCCGAAGTGACCTAATTGTCGAATCAAAAAGGTTTCGGCCCTAATTTGATGTCGTCCATAATAAGGGATATACAGACCTGGACATTTTAAATTGCTTTAAGCTTGGCCAACAACAATCTATCCAAAATGATGACACCTATTTCATGGCCTGAACTAAGTGAATTATTTTCCAATCATTGGAATATCGATCAATTCTTGTTTTTCAATAAACATTAATTGAATATAAACATACTTAAAAATAATTATACGAACGTGGACAAAGACTTATTCAAAAGCCATAAATCTTTTGTTTCTTCACAATTGTAGTATCGGATCATTTCGTAACATCAACTCAATTGCGATAATTAATTCAAGAGTGAAGTACACAAATTATCTGTACCTCGATTATAAGATGATACTTTGTTGAGTATTTTGACTATAAAAGGTTATGAAATGGTATCCGGTAATAAATAAGGGTGTTCATAATCGGGTGCCGGGACTTTTGGGTACCCGAGATGTTGGATAACCGATTTTTTGGATAATACATTTGTCAGCCCGTGTCCAAATCCGAGATTACTGGATATCCGTAAAATCTGGTACTCAATTATCATTTTTTAAATCTATTTTTTTTTAAAATCATATAGGAAACACAAAATTTAAAAGTTCATAATACATAATCTATACATAAAAATTAGTGATTTGAAATTAGTTTTAACGATAAATATTTGAATATATATATATATATATATATATATATTAAAATTTATTTTCAAAATAAAATAATAAAAATATTAATATTGATCGCGATTTTTTTCTTTGAATCTCATATTGAAAAATTAATTAAAAATTAAAAAAGTAAAAACTTAAATGTACATAATATAAACTTGGATAGAATTTAGGGATTTAAATTTAGTTTTAAGGTAAAAATATTAAAATAAAAATAAAAATAGAATTTAAAATTAAATTATATATATATATATTAAAATTACTGGGTCGGGTCGGGTACCCAATTATAATTTTTTTTTGCCCAGACACGGCCCAATTACCAGGGAAATACCCGACCCAGTTGAGTAATTTTTTCCGGAAAACTACCCAATTTTTTAGATTCGGGTAGACGGGTCGATGAGTCAGGTCAACCAGATCAGATATTTTTGAACACCCTTAAATGTAAGATATTACTTTATTGAGTCTATCGACTATTAAAAGTTATAAAATAGTCACTTAACTATTCATATGTTCCAAACTCGTCATTTTTTGTTAAAAAAAATTAATGATCGTTTGAGTTAGATATAAACCTGCTCATTGGGATATGATAAAATATGATCCAAGAACTATTTAAACGATATTTTGTGAATCGATTATCTATTTAAATTATGTTGTCGAAGTTAGTACTTAAAATATTATGTCATCAAACTAGTGCTTAAAAGCAACAATAGATTAGTAGACATCTATTTTATAGTATCTCAATCAGCAAATTAATGTTCAGCTCAGACAATCATCAATTTTTTTTTTACATTTTGAAATATACGAACAGTAGAGTGATCATTTTATAACTTTTAATAGTCATGTGACTCAACAAAACAACGGTCTATAATTTTTAAATAATATCATTTTATAAATTTTAATGGTCGACGACTTAATAAAATAATATCATATAATTGAAGAATTTGCTTACTTTACCCCGAGTTCAAAAGGAAAAGTGGTATGATGGATCCGTTTCGGCTGAAAAGATAATGCGAGTAACAAGAGAAACCTTGCTTCGATATTTCAGTGTGGCTTCCGTTATATTTGTCTACAATTTTTTGCACAATATTGGGCCAAAAATATAGTATGAGCTATCCATTTTCATATTTATTTTGGGCCAAGATAATTTATTCTTTATATTATGAGAAAATTAGATATTAGTTTTATAAATAACATAAAATACAATATAAAAATAATTAAAGCATGCTACAGAAAATAAAAATAACAAAATAAAAACGCAATTAAAGTATTGAACCAAGGTGAACCCATCCAACAACTTAAGTGATAAAAGAAAATAATACTCTCTCTAAAACTCTTGGGCTCGAACAATTACTTCTGCAAAGTATATATTATGAATGATTACGAAAGATTATGAATATATTTTACCTTATAACTACCACATACTAATAAAAAAACAGTATTGAACCAAGGTATATACCATAATTAATATACATATTCAAAACTTTAATCTAATTTTCCAAAACAAAGCGGGGTATATTATACAAAATATTAACACCAAGAAAGCAATTTTTCAAACACAGAAACCAAATATTAAAAGCATATAGGACGAGTCGATGAGCGTTAAAGAAACCACCAGCAAGAGCAATTTTCCAAGCTTACCCTATTATCCAAACTCCACAGTTTTCCTAAAGCATGTGTTCGGCATTTGCGCCAATACATATTTAGTCATGGGCATGAGACGAGTGTACGATCCTACAATATACTGAAAATCTTGAAAGCAAAATAGTTGAGAATAACCGAGTCGAATTTATAGCTGTACCTAACAAGTACACCCGAGTCAAGGTAGCATAGACCAGCATCACTTAGAACAAAATAATTGGATGTTCCAATTTTCTTCCAGAAGAGGAATTAGAATTATTTAAGAAGCATCTTTCAAAAGTTATCCAATTTGAAAACTATAAGTTACAGGCTTCCAACATTTATTATATATGCACACACACACACACATAACTAATTTGCAAAAGGGAAAAATCTTTTGCAGCTAAAACAACCAAGATCGGGGCAGAGGTAGATGAGGCAATCCCTCACTCTCATCTCGGTCCACTACCGTTCCTAGATTTTCAGGCAATCAAGGATACCCAAAGGAATTGCACTCAAGCAAGATATTAAAATAAAACCAAAGGTTTCCAAAAGACACATTATAATAAGCAATAAAATAAAATGGCCTTAAGTGAATTAATATCAAGAAAACATACTCTTTGATGGACATACATTCAGTATCCAACACTCACCCAAAAACTGAGTAACATAGGTCTAGACGAATACAAACTACAAAGCCAAAACTTACTAATTTGGGATCAATTGCCTCATTCTTATCCCCCTTCCTGCTTTGCTTAGCTTAACATACATTTACAAGAGAATGATGCTCAAATTATGTTAAAAAATGTACCAATACCGGCACACATTCAGTATTCCGACACTCGTCCTGAATCAAAGTAACATAGGTCTAGGCAACTACAAACTACAAAGTCAAACTTGCAGTTTTCAGATCAATTGTTTCATTCTTTTCCTTTCTTGTTTTTCTTTTCTTAACAGCCTGCTGATACATACTAAACAAACCCGGAACTTTGTCCTTGTTCTTAGTTATATATTCCTCCTTAAATTTCTTTTCCGACAAAGTAAAGACCCAAACAATCTTCTTATTTTCTTTGATCAGTTTCATTGACTTCAAAACCTTCAAAACTTCATACCTTGCCAGAATCCTTTTATCAGTAGAATACAGAATCAATTTCGGGTACGATATGATCGTTTTGGCGTCCAACTTCATCGTTTTCACATAAAAATCCATCAAATACCTTAGTTTCCTCTCGGAACAAGCTAAACAAATAGGGTCTTTCCTTAAAGTATTAAAAACTTCCTCCTTAGTCCATCCCACGCTCATAAACGCTTCGACTTTTTTCTTCCAATTACTCTCGCTCACCGAACAAATAACCCTAAGAGCATGTATAAACCTAGGTTGCCCGGCTTCTTTAGCCAATTTAACAGCGTAAACCATTCGAGCATGGCTTTGCAAGATAACCCTAGGTTGAAAAACCAACAATCTCGATATCCTATCAACCGAAACCCCTTCATTAATCAGAAAATCAATATTTGGTCGAATAACAGCATTCAGATTGGAAGTAAATAGCCATGAAGAGGATCGTTTAATAGCAAGCAACAATTCATCATCTTTCAAAAATTGGGATAAAATCCCAAGGGACGGCTTAATCTGAGATTCCAAGCTTCGAGAAAGAATTAAAGGATTCGAGGCGACAAATTGAGGCAGCAGCTTACCTTCAAAACCCTTTTCCATAAAATATTCGAGCTTCGGCTTCATCCATTTGTTGAATCTGGAATGCAAGAACGCAGGGCGTTGTTTGACCACTTTGGCGATTTGGGTATTGTTGAATCCGTAGGATTTCAAAAAGTTGAAGAAGGGCGCGGATTCCGGGTCGGCGTTTTGGGGTATTTTGCGGCGTTTGGGGTTTAAAGGGGGCGGATTTGGAATGGGAGAAGGGGTTGGGTTTGTTTGAAGGAAGCGATTGTGGATGAGTGAAAGCAGATTTCTGAGAGGGGTTTTCGCCATTGTAGGGGAAACGTTGCCTTTTGAGTTTAAGCAGGCGAAGAATAAAAATCCAGGGTTTTTTATTTGTGATTTTGTTCGAGTTAATTTATTTTGGGTAAATTATATAAATAATTACTGATTTTTGAGTAAATTTATCTTTTTCTATTAATGTTTTTAAAAATAATGATTTAATTATTGACATTATCGATTTATAATAAATCGATCCCTCTTCTTTAACGATCCTTATTGAGGTAATGGAATGTGGAGGTGGCGTATTAAACCAAATTACATGTCACTATTTGACCATTGGAGACATTCATTTTTACCAGTTGTTTGACTCTCCACTCTTATAGCTTAATTGTTGAGGATATTGTTTCTCGCCATTATTTATCCACCTCGTTCTTCAAAAACACGTTCATTAAGTCATCGTTCACCCAACTGAGAATTGACGTACTTGAGGTTTAATATGTCTCCTCAGTATTTTATTACCTCAATAACATCTATTAACAATAAATAATTAATTTATTATAAATCGATAACATCAACCAAATCATTATTTTTAAAATATTAAAAGAAAAAAAATTAAACATTAATAATCATTTATGTAGTTTTTTTTCAATCTTCTTTAGATAATGAACCTACGTACCTTAAAAAATTATCAATATGATATACTCCTTTCGTCTTTGAAAGTTAAGAATAATTTATTTTAAATACGGACAATTTGAAAATCATATCATTTGATTGTACAATATATTTTTATTTTTTTTATTTTTAATTATTTAAATTCAAAAAAAAATATTTATTCTAAAAAAATTTAAAATAGACTGCCTTTTCTCATTCAAAAACCAATAACCACCATGAAAGATATTACTTGGCTAAGGTTTATGATAACCTAAAATATGAAAAAAAATGTAGATATTACTTGCCTTTATCACTTGTGTGGCAGTGTATGATCGCTTGCTTACTAAGGTGAGGTAGGTTAAATGGGGGTTGCAGTTGGCTCCTTGGTGCTTGCTGTGTGATGAGTTGTTGGAGGAGGATCGAAACATCCTTTTGTATCTTGTTCTTTTGCTCGATAGATTTGGTTTTTTGCTATGGGATCTTGTGGATTGAATGTACAAGCTTCTTCTGGGCTGGATATGTTGGAATGGGTTCAAAGGTATGGTGATGATAAAGTGTTACTACACACTATTATTTGTGTTGCATGGAATTCTATGATCTATTTCATTTGACAGGAAAGAAATGGTAGGAATCATGGGAATAGGCCTCAGATTGTACTTGAGTTTATTAGAGCTGTTGCTCATGATAGATTATTTAGATGTAAACAGTGTGCCCCTTCCCTTGTTGCTTTGCTGCAGGGCCGGTGCTTGGCTTAGATTGGCTTCCGTTTTTGATTGCACTGAATTGTTGTTTTGGATGAAATGAAAATATTTGATTATCCAAAATAAAAATTATATACCCATAAAGTGATCTTCATGATTTAAGAGATTATTGTTTTCTTTAGACGTTTTGAGTCTGACATCTATAAAATAAGTGTGCATTGTCAATAATTAAAAAAAAATCTGAATAAATACTACCTTATAATCATCCAAACTATTTATAAAAAAGATCAATAAAACTATTTTTTAAACGTTCATTAATGATCTCATAATCTATTTAGGAGAAAATCTAAATGACTTTGGGTAGTAATATCCAAAGCTTGTTTTTTTATAAATAAAATAGTTTTCCATTATTAAATTACAACCAGGTCCAAATCAACCTCTAAAGAATCCATCTTGCATTTCGTCATACATAAATGACGTTACATATACATGTTATAAGTAAAACATGTTTTCTCACTTCATTATCTAGTCAGCAAGCAAAACAAATAATTTCAACACTTAATTCAAAACTCAACTCTGCACCTACCACTACAGCTATGCCTTGGCCGACTCAAGGAATTAAATAAAAATCCACGGTTATACATTACTCACCTCCTTCACACACGACTACTTTCTGGACGAATCACCCGAACCATCATTGTCATTGCCAACCGCTGCCACTGCCACTGCCACTTCCAGTTCCGGTGCTACCACCCCAGCCACCAGGGAAAGCTTCCCTGCCTGGAGAGTTTTGAACTTTAGCACCAGGGAAATTACCCCAACCATCTTCTTCCCGTTTCTTGTTACCTGAATCCTGTTTCGGAGTTTCATTGTATGATGAATCCTGCCGCTCATTATGCCCTCTGCTGCTGTTATATGAACCCCTACCACGTCCACGCCCACCATGGGCCGGGGTAAGCCACTTGGATGCCCATCTCGACTACTGCTATTTCGGTAATCGTTTCGGCCTTGTAATACCAACCAAACCGGGTAAAGATTAGACAAAAGGGAGCAGACAAACAACCCTAACAAGGAAAAAGAACAACTGAATGTAAAAAATGCATAAAATAAAAGTAGCATCTAGATGTTTGAACTTTTCCTAGTTGAACTCAAAGCTTGTCTACAGAACTAGCAGAACTTCACAATCATCCATGATTTTCTTTCTTAATAATGAACTTCTATTAATATTAACAATTAATAGTTTGAATGAACTTTAAACAAATAATATTTTTAATATTTTATCTCAATATTGCTATTTCATAAACTGAAAAATAATATTCCAATAACAATTACATTGATGTAAATAATATTTACTAATTATTATAATAATTTAAAAACAATATCATTAATATTTTTTAAGAAATATTATATTAATGTAAATATTGCTATTTGAAATTTGCAAAAACATATTGTAATTTGAATTGAAGAAAAAAGATAAAAAAAAAACCAAACAAGAAACATGTTATTAATTCGTATAATTGTATCACATCCAAATTTGCCATGTCGAAAGATTACCTGTTCTTGACCCTGGGGTGGAAGATTGGCCTCTCCAACTACCTTCATTTGTTGAACCACCCCAACCACCACCCTTAGATTCCCCTGCAGAACCTCCAGCAGCTGAGCTTCGCATTGGTACCATCGCCGCAACTGATCTAATTGATGAAGCTGACTCCTGCTGTGGATCATCAATATGCCTCTGGAAATATGCAACTAGACGATCAAAGATCAATGTCCTCAAATATCCTTTTTCTGAACTTGAATCCCTTGGGATATAAGCCAACATACTCGTGATGCGGATTTGAACTCCTTATATAAGTAAGAATGAAAGTGCCTGGATGTTCATGAGAAATGCCAAAACAGTACACAATCCTCATAGGTTACTCTGATTTCTCAATCCTTAAAAGCTCGTCAACCTCTTGTTTAGTTCCCCTCCTGAACTTACGATAACTCAGCATTGCCTTCAGATGAGACTCAAGGGGATCAACATAGCGATCCATTACCTGCAATTAAAATTCAATCAACATCACATGGATTTTGATGCCTCTACAACATATTATATCATATGCTACCTCTCTAAGATGATAGTAAAAGTAATATCAGTGTAATTGTCAAAGGGACCAACCATGACTTTTTCCTACTCTAGAACAATAATTAACTTCATGTTTAGAATTCTCTAATGGAACTCAAGATTTAAAGCATGGACAAGCAGTTTTTTTGTATGGTGATAAAATAAAATAACAATTTATTTTTGAGCCCCTGTGGTCAAATTCCAGAGTTCATCCTTGAGTTTATGATCAGTTAGTTTTACAACTGGAAAGGATTCCCACTGCAACCTAACTCCCATTCAGCACTATGCTAATGTGGTTATTTCCACTTAATTCACTTACCTTCAAAGTTTAAGAGCTATTCCAGGAAAACAAGCCTTTTAAGGATAGACTTACTGTTGACGAAAACGGGTAAAGAAAACGAAAGAACACGAGAATTTTACGAGGTTCGGCAATGTGCTTATGTCCTCGGTGCCTAGGCGGCGCTAGAAGTTTTATTCAATGATCTTTTAGGTCTAGGTTACATCTCTATTTATAATAGAAAACCCTGGTACATAATTACAAAATCAACCCTGTACCGTACCGCGGGGGCTGCGCCCCCACACCCCCAACCCACATAATTCGTAACCCCACAACGAGACTTTTTATGAGCCATACATAACAAATCTCCACCTTGGCGAATATCCTGCCCCTTGGAAACTTCAATGTGGGTTGGGTTACCTTGCTTCTTTAACAACTCGAAACATTCAACAAGTCCAAGCAATGCTTGAACTTGTCTGTCGTAACTGGCTTGGTGAACATATCAGCGGCATTCTCATCAGTATGTACCTTCTGAAACAAAACCTCTCCAGATGCAACCAACTCTTTGATCTTGTGGAACCTTACATCAATATGTTTAGTTCTAGCACGATACACCTGATTCTTAGCCAAGTGAATAGCACTTTGATTATCACAAAGCAACTGAACTCCACCTTGTTGAACACCCAACTCCTTCACTAAACCAGTAAGCCATAAAGCTTCTTTTGCAGCTTCAGCCGCTGCCATGTATTCAGCTTCAGTTGTAGATAGTGCCACGACAGATTGAACAGTAGACTTCCAGCAAATAGGCCCTCCACCAAGAGTAACACATACCCTGTCGTAGATCTTCTATTATCCAAGTCACCTGCATAATCTGAATCCACATATCCTACAACCAAAGGATTATCCCGCTGACTCCCAAAAACAATTCCATGTCCCACAGTACCCTTTAAGTACCGAAAGATCCACTTGACTGCATCCCAATGTTGCTTACCAGGTTTAGACATGTACTTACAAACTTGACTAACAGCATGAGCTAAATCAGGACGAGTACATACCATCGCATACATCAAGCAGCCAACAGCATTAGAATATGGAACCTTTGCCATATTTTCAGCTTCCTTATCTGTCTTAGGGCACTGTTCTGATGAGAGCTTAAAGTGATTCGCCAATGGAGTGCTAACTGGTTTCGCGCTGCTCATCGCAAACCTTTCTAGCATTTTCTCAACATAACCCCGTTGAGATAGCCGCAGTTTCCTTGAGTCTCTGTCCCTGCAAATTTCCATTCCAAGAATTTTCTTTGCAGCACCTAAATCTT